TAAGTGCAGCTTCGACGTTCTAATTGGGTACACACGCCAGGATGCGGGTGGGCCTCGTTCAGGAGTCTTTCGTGAGTAAAGTTCGGTGAATTATTACACAAACGAGGCCACCCGGAGATAGTTAATTATGCTTGTGGTTAACCACAGACCGCAGCTCCCGGCGGTCAGTTAGCCACACGCTCCACTCGTGGGGTGGTCGGCTGTTCTGTACTTTCAAAGGTGACCAGGGTTAAGTGGCGGCACACGCCAAGGGCTGGGTGGTCCGTCGTTTGTATACATGAATAAATAGTTGTAACCTGAATACCGAACAGGGTATTGGGAAACAAAAGGGAGTACTTCTGTAATAGTTTGTAGGGTTCTTGTAACAATGGGCATCGGAACAATTTTAGCCTTAGGGTTGTCTCCCTTCTTACCTACTCTCTGGCAAACCTCACAGGTCTATCAATAACTTCGGACATCATCAGATACCCCAGGCCAGAAAAAGTTCTGAGTTACCCGGTTTAATGTCCGGTGTATTCCCAAGTGATCTGCTAGCGGGACGTCATGCCCAATCCGCAACAACTCCCGCTGGTATTTCCTCGGGACTACCAGCTGGCATTTTTGCCGGGGTGCGTTAACCCGGGTTTCTCTGAGTCTATACAGCCTGCCATCTTCCCAGACTAACTGTTCTCCCAGCCCCCCGTGGCCTACTCTCGCCTTCTCCCTGTATTTCCGTAGGGATGGGTCTACCACTACTTCCCTCCCAAAATCCTCCGGGGTATCCCAGGGAAGGGGCTCTACCGTCAGGGGCGGGAAAAGTTGGCTCACCTGGGCCTCAGTAGGAGGTGGATGGCTCTCGGCAGCACGGCTCTGGGCTCTGGTGGTCACCACTTGGGCCTGGTGGGTTGGTGTGGGTACAATGCTGAGGTTAATGGTCCAATGTCATTCCCCAATCTCATTTCTGCGGGTAGCTCCTTCATGACTCCCACCTGTACGTTGCCAGCTCCAGCGCCCCAGTCTAGATGGACCTGGGCTGTGGGAATCCAGTAAACAGCCCCCCCCACCACTCGTACAGCAGTAGATTTCCCTGGTCGTTCCCCGTTGTCAGTAAGGTGTCTTTGAACCAAGGTGAAGGTGGCACCACTATCCCTGAGCCCTTGGGCAGTCTTCCCATTCACCATCACCAACTGATAATGGTCAGTTCCAGTTGTCCGTGATGGAAGACTGGACTAAGTGGGCTTCGTACAACATGCCTGTTACGATTGCTTCCGGTCTAGCAGGAGGTTGGATCGCTTAGATGTCCTGGTTCCCGAAGTTGGAGTGTCGAACAGTGCTTCAATCACTAGAGACCTGTAAGTGTAGAATATCCCACTAGCTATAGTAAAGCTAGGATTCCCGATTCCTTACAACACGAGTGTTACAAAGACGCTACATACTGTTACAACATAACTCTCTGTCAATTACAAACCCCTATGATGCCGCATTTCGACCATACGAACGCTTTGCACGAACTATTATAAAGGTCTATTCATCTGTACGAATGAGGGACCACCTAGTCCTTGGCGTGTGCCGCCACTTAACCCCGTCACCCCTAAAGGTACTGAACAACCGACCACCCTACGGGCGGAGTGTGCCGCTCATTAAACCACAAAAGGGTCTGCGGTCTGCGGTTAACCACAAACTAATGGACGGTCCCAGAAGACCAACGTTCGCATATAATTCCCCGAAGGGAAGGTGCCGAACGCTGCACGAACAAAGACCACCTGCATTCCGGTGTGTGGCAGCAATTAGAACGTGGCTCCTGCGGTTAACCGCAGGTTAAGTACCCCCTTCCGGGCGGTCGCTCTTCATCTTCCGAACGGCCAGGACAACCAGGCTGAGAGCGGGGATTCGTGCACTGTTATAGCCGACCTCTGCTCCAGGAGTATCAGGTGGAGGTCCTGCTGCCCATTGACCGACCTCAAAACCTGGCCGCCATCAGGGATGATACACCAAAGTGCCGAATAAGACTTTCTATGGCAGAAAACCCCCCGTTCTGTTCGTGGGATCTGAGCGCCATTCCGCTATTTGATGCGCCCAGGGCTGAGCTGTCAAACGAATAGTCAAATGAACTATATTCCCCTTAATGTATTAAAGTTATATATTTTTATGCTGTTTTCTGGGACACAATAAAGCATGGTCTTTTGGGCGCTTGGAGATAATTAGATTGTATAAACCGTTGGCCTCATTATCTCCAAGATGGGCGGGTACTAGTTTGAATGATACACTGTATTGTGATTGGTTGAATACGTGTACTGTACCTGTATCCCATCAGGTCCCTGGGGGGGCTGTCCCTGGACCTGGGACTTGCATAAATTGCCATGCTTGTGTGCCAGTAAAGCCAGTTCGTTTTGACCCTCAACTCGCAGCCTCGACTCGTGTTGTGTGGATCCGGGGATACTAGTGCTACTATAGGTAGGCTAGTGGGACATTCTACACTTGCAGGTTTTTCTACCGATTGAAGTGGCATTTGACTCTCTGACTTTGGGAACCAGGACATCCATGCGCTCAAACTCCTGCTAGCCTGGAGGCAATCGTAACAATTGGTGGCAGCGGCGGGATCATCCTGGATTTCCTAAGAGAAGTATAGAAGTATAGAACGGATGGAGAGCAACTACGATAAACTGAAGCGCCCTGCGTTAAAGGATTTACTTGAAAGCCGAGGTGGGAACGCGAGCAACCGGCCAAGGAGGGAATTGATTGCTGACCTAACTGAGCTAGATCAGAGCTTCACCATGGCAGAATCTACAGCAATGTCCAGCGACGAGAAGACGAGGATGGTCAGGGAAAGACTTCCTCTGTATGGACCGAACCCGTCCGTGGAACTGGTGCAACAATTGATGGCGGATATACAAAGAGCCAGAGCCCACAAGCTCAGTGTACTGACCGCCCAACATGGTCCTACCGCTACTGCACACAGCAGCTCCACGGAAAATGCAGAGCAACAGAAAATCCTGTTCGCAGCATTCAAGCCATTCATGGAAAACGAGATGGGGATAGACGAATTTTTAGCCGATTTTGAAAGGCAATGCGCTTCATCAAATCCCCTCAACAGCATGGCCTTGCATCCTGGTGGGGAAACTAGCCGGGCGAGCGATGGAGGCTTTTAGCACCCTCAGCACCGAGGAAGTGGACCAATACCAGCTTGTGAAGGACACTCTGTTGAAAAGATATGCAGTGACCCCCGACACGTACCGAAGGCAGTTCCACAACACCAAGAAGAAACCGAATGACACCCATGCCGAATGGACGCACCGAATGCAAAGGGCTGCTAGTCATTGGATTAATGGATGTTGGGCAGTCACGGCAACAGAAATTTTGGAACTATTTCTTTTAGAGCATTTTTATGAGGGACTAGAACAGAAAGACAGAGAGTGGTTGAAGGATCGGCGGCCTAACGATCTCAATGAAGCGGCAAGACTGGCGGACGAACATCGAGACGCTCATGTGGCGAAACCGGCCTCGCCACGTGTCCTTGGAGGGGGCTGCTTGCCCGCCTCTTGCCTTTGGACTATGGATCAGACTTTATGTGAATGTGTTAACCCAGATAGCTATGCCATGGAGCCCATTCGTGTAGTTAAAGACTTCGGCTCCATGGCAATTGAACTGTGTGAATAGGATCTGAGCGCTATTCGGTAGTTTTGTGCGCTCAGATCCCAGCTATCTGGGGATATGTGAAATGTCTGTGTGTTATGTGTAAAAAGTGACTTTATGTATTTTAAAGTGTTTTGTGTCTTTTTGCAACCATGTGCTTAATGGAGTCTTGTGTCTATCCTGGGAGATAATTGAATTACTCTCCAGGATAGAAGACTCTGAAACTGGTTTGGGCCAGAAAGCCATGCTTCATTTAGTCACAAAGGACTTTCCCTTAACTTTTGAACCCCTGGTCTGATTCGTGCCATTTTTTAATATGTTGTTCCCCTGAATGGATTGATTATGAAAATGTATGTTTTATGTTTGTGACATGTATATTTTAGAAGTTATAAATATTGTGTAAAAACTGTATTCCTCTGCCGGTGATAATGAGATTACCCATTGTGTTCAGTAATCATAGGGGAGGATTTTGTGTGGGAGTGTCTGGGTGTATTGTACGGATTGATTGGTTGTTTTGTAACGCCCTGTGGGCTGTACTATGTTTGTGGATTGGGAATAAAAGAGACTGTATGTGACAGTACAGGGAGTTCCTGTTTTAACCCTCAAAGTGAAGTGTCGTCTCATTATTGGGGGAAGGATTTATTGTATGCTGTTCCAGTTTGACTGCTAGGAGAGTAAACCTATTCGTATGGTTCCTATTCAACTGTCTACAGCATTCATATGCTTGGGAGAATTTATTTGTTTCTCTGGTTCGGTGATTGTGGTGTCTGCCAGAGTGCTTGGAGTCCTCAGGAAGCGCTAGGAGCATCCTTCAACGGAGGTACCCAGTCGGGGTGCCAGGCGATCCGTTACAGCTCAGATACAGGAGTTCAACAACTCCCGAACAGTGGCCTGTGCCAAATCAAGAGACACCTACCGAACCAGCCCGCGAACTAAATTTCGTACAGCGGGCCCTACCCGTTACACAGGACCACCCAGCCACTACACCCCAGAACGCTCCCGGCCCACCTGCTTCAAATGCAAACAGCCGGGGCACCTCATCGCTAACTGCCCCCTCAACAGCAACTACCCGTCACGGAATTACAACTCACCTCCCTCGCGCTTTTTGTGTTGAAAAAGAAAGCCCTATGGAAGAATATCTGGGAACTCTCCATGAAGCCAACCCCGTGTATGCCGCAAACTACAACCGGCAGCACCACAGACAAGAGGTGTAACTGGAGGGCCGCCCCACTCAGGGGTTAAGAGACACCGGGGTCACTATTACCCTGGTACAAGGCCGACTGGTGCCAGAACATAAACGCTCTACAGACACCGTTGCTGTCAGGGTGGCTGGAGGGGACATCTACAAACTACCAATGGCCAAAGTACATTTGGGTTGGGGTGCGGGGAAAGGACTTGTGCGGGTGGTAATCATTGACAACTTGCCAGCTAAGGTTTTACTGGGAAATGACCTGGGCCCCATGACTTCAGCATATGCTCCGTCCTACAACTCGGAGGCACATCCTGTCACTACCCAGTCGCAAGCAGGAAGGACCCAAGACCCTTCACCAGTGCGGGAGTCTCAGGTAAGACTAACCCCGACTGTGACTAATTACCCTTCACCTTACCCTGGGATACACCGGCAGCCTTTGAGGCGGAGACTAAAACGGACCCGACACTCCAGAAGTATAGGGAAAGAGCTGACACAGGGACTGGGGGGGTCAGACCACGAGACATTCGCATGGGAACAGGGCAGATTGTACAGGCATACAGAGAAGAAGGGGCACCGTAGGAGACAGCTGGTCATTCCCCACAAGTATAGACGAGATATACTCCGGGTGGGTCATGATATCCCATTAGCCGGACACTTAGCAGTAACACGCACCCTCCACCGTATTACCCATGCCTTCTTCTGGCCAGGGGTACATGCGGATGTAAGAACGTACTGTAATACGTGCGAGGTCTGCCAAAGGGTGGGCAAGAGAGGGGACCACCCTAAGGCACATCTTGTCAATATGCCTTTTATAGAAGAGCCCTTTAGGCGGGTCGCCATCGACTTGGTGGGGCCCCTCGCCACCCACAGTCCATCCGGTAAGAGAGATATTCTCACGGTAATGGACTACGCTACGCACTACCCAGAGGCAGTGGCCCTATCCAATATCCAGGCAGACACCGTGGCTAATGCCTTGGTACAGGTGTTCTCTTGGGTAGGATTCACTCGGGAGATCCTATCCGACAGAGTTACCCAGTTTACGGCGGAACTGACACAGCAGTTATGGCATGTCTGCAAAATAAAATCCCTCCTCAGCTCCCCGTACCACCCGCAGACGAATGGTTTATGTGAGCGGTTCAATGGAACCCTCAAACAAATGTTGAAAACCTTCACCCAGAAATACAGAGACTGGGAACGTTTCCAGCCGCATCTCCTGTTCGCTTACCGGGAGGTGCCCCAGGAAACAACCGGATTCTCTCCGTTCGAGCTGCTATACGGACGCAAGGTGCGGGGCCCCCTGAACCTTATCCGTGAGCACTGGGAGGGAGAGATGGAGAACGCCGGAGTCCCCATCGTACCCTATGTGCTGGAGCTTAGGGACCGCATGGAGCAACTAGCCAGGTCGGTCCAGGCTAACCTCCAGGCGGCCCAGAGGCGACAAAGTCTGGTATGACAGGGGGCACGGCGGAGGAGCTTTTGTATAGGACAAAAGGTTATGGTGCTCAAGCCTGTTAAAGCAGACAAGCTGCAAACAGCCTGGATGACATAGCGATCCATAGTGAGTCCTGGGAGGAACACTTAGCACATGTAGGAATGGTCCTGGATCAGATTCGGGCCGCGGGCCTGACTCTAAAACCAGAGAAGTGCCATTTTGGAATGACTGAGGTGCAGTACATGGGTCACCGAGTGGGGTGCAGGAAGCAACGACCGGAGCCGGCCAAGATAGAGGCGGTCGGGAATTGGCCCTCACCACACACTAAGACCCAAGTACTAGCCTTCTTAGGCACAGCTGGGTACTACAGGCGGTTCGTACCGGATTATAGTTCTATTGCTAAACCCCTGACTGACTTGACAAAGAAAAATCTTCCCTGACAGGTCCTGTGGTCTCCCCACTGTGAAACAGCCTTTCAAACGCCCAAAAGTGCCCTAATTAATGCTCCTGTCTTGGCTGCCCCGGCCCCTAATAAACGCTTTATTGTTCATACAGACGCTTCCATGTTCGGGCTGGGGGCCGTTCTCAGAAAAGTAGGAGATGATGGAAAAGAGCACCCGATCGCTTACATTAGCCGAAAACCCCTGCCAAGCGAGGTCAGCTATGCCGCAGTGGAAAAGGAGTGCTTGGCCCTGGTGTGGGCACTAAAGAAATTAACCCCCTACTTGTATGGACAAGAGTTCCCTCTGGTTACAGACCATAACCCGTTGGTATGGCTGAACCGGGTCGCTGGGGATAATGGCAGACTTTTACTCTGGAGCTTATCTTTACAACCCTTTAACTTTACTATCACCTACCGACCCGGAAAGCAGAATGGCAATGCCGACGGGTTATCACGGCAAACATACCTCAGTCCAGCATAATTCCTTGGTCTGGACAGCCTTAGTCTTCCCCAAAAAGACCACCTGCATTCCGGCATGTGGCAGCAATTAGAACGCGGCTCTTGTGGTTAACCACAGGTTAAGTACCACCTTGCGGGCGGTCGCCCTTCGTCTCCCGAATGGCCAGGACAACCAGGCTGAGAGCGGGGATTCGTGCACTGTTATAGCCGACCTCCGCTCCATGAGTATCAAGTGGAGGTCCCGCTGCCCATTGACCGACCTCAGAACATGGCCGCTATCAGGGATGATACACCAAAGTGCCGAATAAAACTTTCTATAGCAGAAAACCCCCCGTTCTGTTCGTGGGATCTGAGCGCCAGTTGGATTTTTGAGCTGTCGAACGAATAGTCGAATTAACTATATTCCCCTTAATGTATTAAAGTTATATATATTTATGCTGTTTTCTGGGACACAATAAAGCATGGTCTTTTGGGCGCTTGGAGATAATTAGATTGTATAAACTGTTGGCCTCATTATCTCCAAGCTGGGCGGGTACTAGTTTGAATGATACACTGTATTGTGATTGGTTGAATATGTGTACTGTACCTGTATCCCATCAGGTCCATGGGGGGCTGTCCCTGGACCTGGGGACTTGCATAAATTGCCATGCTTGTGTGCCAGTAAAGCCAGTTCGTTTTGACTTCGGGAACCAGGACATCCAAGCGATCCAACCTCCTGCTAGCCTGGAGGCAATCGTAACAACGAGTCGAGGCTGCGAGATGAGGGTAAAACGAACTGGCGACAGGCCCACGCGTGCTGCGTTTAAGCTGTGTGTACCAGCCCTCCATGCACTGTACACTAGTGCCTTCCTTGAATCCTTTGTGCAGGGAAAAAAGGAGAATCCCGCCGCTGCCAACCAGTTATCCAAATATAATGGAAAATGCACTCTATCCCTTGTCCTGGAATCCTGGGTGCAATGAACTGGATAAGCCCCAGTACCAAAGGGACCAAATATCAAATATAAATGTAGAAAAGAAATCCAGGCACTCTAAGGTGTTCCACCAATTAGGCAATTTAGCTTGACAAAGGCCCTAAGGGATCGAAAGGTTGTTTGGTGCTTGGGTCCAATAAAAATTGCCTAATTAGTGGAACACCTTGGAGTGCCTAGATTTCTTTTCTACATTTATATATGATATTTGGTCCCTTTGGTACTGGGGCTTATCCAGTTCATTGCTGCCAACCAGTTGAGACTGTATAATCCTGTGACCCGTCAATCATTCCCTTTTTCCCATAAATGGTATCGTCGAATAATCCACACATGAGCCAAAGCTTAATGCTGGAACAAGATTGTTTTACTGGGAACAAGGGTGCTCAATTTATGCAACACATAACTCCTCCTCTGGGCCAGGCTAGATAATTGGGTTTGAGCAGCTTATCAAACACAATTATCTACTGGCCAGAAAAGTTACAATTTTTCACAAGTCTTAAAAATATACTTTATACATAACATATTAATATATCCCTGGGTAGCTGAGGGTGATGTGAGCAACATATAAAAAATTTGTGAAACTCTGTTCGGTAGTTTTTGAGTTATACCGTGTAAAAGTTTGACCGTCTCTTCACGAGATTGTAGCCGACTCAGAGTTCCATAGAATCAGGGCAAGAGCCGGTCTTCATTCGCATGAAATTTGCATGAAAACCACTGTAGGTATTTTCAATCTGGTTTGTGGAGAATGCTTCACTCGTTCGGCTGTTTTAAACTCCCGAACGCCGTTCTTCTGCCGTATTTAGAAGGTGTTCGTATGGGACTTCCAGAGGGGGACCGGGTGTTCATCAAGTGCCATGCCGAAAACAGTTCCAGGCACTCGACGACCAAATTCCGCTGACCGCCGTTCGGTAGTTAAGATGGCCACCGTCCATTGTTCTCGTCTTGTGTTCGTATGCCGAAATGGCGGCCACCTCGGAGCAGTCAATTAACTTGCGGTTTTTGTGCAGTTACTCAGAGTTCTAAGTTCTAATTACTACCTAGGGTGGTCTTCGTTCGGTAAGCTGACTATTTTACCGAACAAAGGAAATTAACAAAATGAAAGTAACCAATGAACCAGTAATAAATCCACGAATAAAGTAGCAGGGAGGGAGAAAACCGAATGAGTGGAGGGTGATTCTTCACACCTGACATTTGGCTTTCCCTCATCATTGTGTCTCATTCTGTGTCCCTGACCTCAGCAAGTATTCTGACTATTCTCTGGTACGTTAAATCTGGCCATTCTAAGACCCGGTAGGACGTTACCTTTAGTCCTAGGTGTCATACTGTTCTGCGTGCTGTATCAACTAGTAATCCTGACAAATATACATTGTGTCTTGGCTTGTTGTATACTGTAGCGGAGCTCCCTGTACCCCGGCTGGCTACCTCTGCCAGAGGGGTTGCTTCCTAGCTGGGACCAGGGGAAACAGGTGGAAAACTAGCTCTTTCAGTCCTAACAAGGACTTTCCCCGCTGCATCCCCTGCAAGGTGGAACAGCAGACACAGGGGTTAAATCTTCCTTCCCTCCAGTAACCAGACGACACACAGTTCTTGAGGTACAAACTCTGACAATCTTTATTTGGAACATACAGC